AACATAAGAGAAGCCAATGTTGGATCAGGCCAATGGCCCATCCAGTCCAACACTCTGTCACACAGTGGCCAAAAATACCAGGTGCCATCAGGAGGTCCACCAGTGGGGCCAGGACACTAGAAGCCCTCCCACTGTTGACCCCCCCCCCCAAAGCACCAAGAATACAGTGCATTACTTGCCCCAGACTGAGAGTTCCTATCTATATCTGGTGGCTAATAGCCATTGATGGACTTCTGCTCCATATGCTTATCAAATTCCCTCTTGAAGCCGTCCATGCTTGTAGCCGCCGCCACCTCCTGTGGCAGTGAATTCCATGTGTTAATCACTCTTTGGGTGAAGAAGTACTTCCTTTTATCTGTTCTAACCCGACTGCTCAGCAATTTAATCGAGTGCCCACGGGTTCTTGTATTGTGAGAAAGGACTTCTTTCTCTACCTGCTCTATCCCATGCATAATCTTATAAACCTCGATCATGTCACCCCATAGCTGTCGTTTCTCCAAGCTAAAGAGCCCCAAGCGCTTTAACCTTTCCTCATAGGGAAAGTGTTCCAATCCTTTTATCATTCTAGTTGCCCTTTTCTGCACTTTTTCCAATGCTATGGTATCCTTTTTGAGGTGTGGTGACCAGAACTGTACACAGTACTCCAAATGAGGTCGCACCATCGATTTATACAGGGGCATTAAGATACCGGCTGATTTGTTTTCAATTCCCTTCCTAATAATCCCCAGCATAGCGTTGTGGGGAGGGGAAGGGAAGGAGATTGTAAGCTACTCTGAGACTCCTTTGGGTGGTGAAGGGCAGAGTATAAATCCAACTCTTCTTCTTTCTCTTTATTGCTGCTGCTTTCATCTATGCATTAACGGTTATTTCTTGTATGTTTTAACTTTTAATTTTGGTAGCCTTGTATTCTGTGGTATGTTGTTATATTGAATTTTACTGTAAGCTGCCCTGAGCCCTGCTTGCAGGGAAGGGTGGTCTAAAAATCGAATAAATAAATAATAAAATGGTTGTTTAATATGTTTTCTGTTATGTATATTTTAGGTAACATACATACACATAAATGCCTTGAATACACTAGTGAAAAAAATGTACTTGAAGAGAGGCACAACTGCAGGCAATGACACTACGGCCTAGGGCAGGGGTCACCACAATGCCTGTCAACACCTTTCCTGGAACCTGCCACGTGTTTTTAAGAAAGTGGGTGGGCCAAGTGGGGCTTTTGCCTAGCAGGGCTTCTGACTGGCTGTGCAGATTTTTAAAAAGTTGCTTCAGCAGCAGCTGCCACTTTAGCAAAGGGATCTTCATTGCACTGCTAAACGTAAGCTGTGTGTATGCAAGAATATATTTTTAAACAACATGTTCATTTAAGAAGGCATCCAATTAAACAGAACTTCTGTCTGAAATGTTGAAGAGTTACTGTTATGCATGACCTCACTCCCTGACATTTTGTGGTTGGCTCCACCTCCTGTCGAAGCCATTCTGTAGTTGCTGCAGCCATTTTGTGGTTGCACCCACCACCCTGTTTCAGAATTCCAAAGGTGCCTTCTGGCTCAAAAAGAGTTGGGTGCTCCCGGTCTAGTGACCAGGGGGCTACACTTAAAGAAGTATCTTAGAATTGAATTCGACTTCTGATATCGTATCCTGGATGGTCTCTTCCAGTCAGTAGCTTTTGGCCTCAGTTCATAATACTTTGAAATGTAACTACTCTGCCTTTTAAAAATAAAAATGAAAACTCGGGAACATCTTCAACAAAATGTAAAGCATTAAAATATTCTTTATTTACTTAGTTCAGAATCATGGAACACAGTGATTATTTCTGAAAACACATTAATTTTAATTGCTTAACTCACTTTTATGGCACTGAGCTTTTGCTTTAGGTGAGCCCAGAGTACAGCTAGAATTTTATTACTCTTTTTTTTTTTTTTTATCCCCGTAAGGATTTTTTTAATTTTGCAAATACTACAAACTACAAAGAAATATAGGGAAGGGACTACAACTAAGGATAAAGAAAAGCAAACCACACTATACTAAAACCCCAAGAGGAGGAGATCTTTTAACTGTTAGTAAACATGTTAGTACCATTAGTTTTATTATCACAATATACTTGTTGAGTTCTTGCTTATAACAGTTCGCTTCTTATATATTATTTTATTAGTTGTTATGAGAGAAGTCTCTGATCATCTTCTTATTCTTCTCTTCAAAAGGCCATTTTCCAAGTCCTCCTGCCTTTACTTCAACTTTCTGTCTCTAAACTCATATCCCACTCTGGCAGCTCCTGCACCTTTTTCTGTCGCAGAATCCTCTTCCGTTCCTGAGGTCGCAGAGTCACTCGACTTCGATTCTCCCTCTTTGGACTCATCATCTGTCCCCAGCTGACGTTTCAAAAATTCTTTAGCTTTAAAAGTGGAGTCTATCTTCTCTCTTCTGTCGTTGATCTTAAAGATGACACCCTCCGGAACCACCCATCTATACGATATTCCATTAGTTTGAAGAAAAGAAATTAATTCCTTGTAATTTTTCCTCTTTTGTCTGATTCAAATGGAATGTCCTTTAAAGTTTTAATGGTAACATTTTCCATTTTCAGTGGAGTTGCTGATGTTGCTTTTAAGATAGCATTCCTGGTTTGTCTTCTTGAAGACTTGACCACTATTTCTCCAGGTAGGCTATTTTTTAGGCTGTCTCCATTTCGTTTACAAGTTCCTCCGCTGTTAAGCCTACTACTGGAGCGATGATCTCACTAAGCACCTTCTTCAAGTCTTCCCGATCTGTTTCAGGAACCCCCTGAAACCTGAGAATCATGTTAGCTTTTGGCAATTCTGCTTCATTTCCACCTCTCCCATCCTTTTCTTCAACTTCTTACTTGTGGTGTCAATCTCTTTAATTTTCTCATTTGCCTGCTCCACTTTTTTCTCTGTCTCGTTCAGCTGAAGCTGTTGCGCCGCAAAGTTTTTATTCATCACAGTCAATTGCTGGTTAATACCATCGAGTTGTTCCATTACCGGCTTGAGCATATCCGCCAGGAGTTTGAGGACATCTGCTCCCTCTTCCAGTCTCAGACTCTGCCCGCCCAGTTTTGTTTTAAACTTTCTCTGCTGGGCCGCCATCTTTCCCATTTTGTTTACAATTTCTGCCGCTTCCCCACAACTCGGAAAACTCGCCAAGCGACTTTGCAATTCAGATAAGTCTCTCAAAACATTTTCGGTTTACTTCCTCCCCTCTCCCCTTTCATGTCTGTTAACCATTCTTTCGCAAAAGAAGCTAATAATCTGTGTTGTGCTCTGACCACATAGTCTCCCCCGCTCTGTGCAATACCAAAGGGAGGGGGTAGCCCAGGGAAGCAAGGAAAGGCAAGACCCTTGGGTTGCCAACTTTCCAGGGATCCCCCAAAGATTGGGGATTCCATCTCCAAATAGGGAGATTCAGCCAGAGGGGTCTCACTATCCCTCTAAAAAGGCAGTGACAATTCAGTGAGTGGTTGCTGCAAACTTAAGGAGTGAGATACGGCCACAGGACAAGGGTGAGAGGCGAACAGCTGAGTTGTAAACTGGAGCCCATTTCGCCACAGTAGGCAACCAAGCTTCGTTCAGACAAAGGAATGAAACCCTTTGCAGGTCTTTGTGAGGAACTCATTGGGGCCAGTTCTGACTAGGGATGCCAGCTCCAGGTAAGGAGATTCCTGGATATTTTCTGGTAGAGTCTATGGAAGCCAGGGTTTGGGGAGGGGAGAGGCCTCAGCTGAACAGAATGCGGGGGGGGGATATCTGTTCTGGAGTTCAGTTGTGATACTGGTGATCTTCAGGCTCCACCTGGAGGTTGGCTACCCTAGACGTAGCAGTCTGCTAGATCCAGGTTCTTGCTGTAGAAGCTGAGTGGGTGATTTTGGACCAGTCACAGACTTTCAGCCTAACCTCCCTCATGGGGTTGTTGTGCAAGTCAAAAGGGGGAGAGGAGAATGATGTAAGCTGCTTTGGTCCCCATTGCAGAGAAAGACTACTTTTCCTCCTGGGAAACCATTGTTGCCAAACTCCAGATGAGGGCTGGAGATCACTCAGAATTACAACTGTTCTCCAGATAGCAGAGATCAGTTCCCCTGGAAAAAATTGTGGACTCTGTGTCCTTATACCCTGCTGAGATGCCCCCCCCCCCATAACAGCCAATGCGATGTGGCAGTCAGGGCTTCAGAGCACAGTAGAGGCTGCAAGTGCGGGGGGGAGATAGAAAGCTGAAGAGTGAGGGGGAAATGAAGGTAGGTTGAAGATTGGCTGGGAAGGAGATAGGGTTGCCAACTCCAGGTTGGGAGATTTGATGGTTGGAGCCAGGAGAGGGTAAGGTTTGAGGAGGGGTGGGACATCAGACAGGCATAATGCCATAGACTCCACCCTCCAAACCAGCCATTCCCTGTCAGGGAACCATTGTTGCCAATCTCCAGGTGAGGGCTGGAGATCCCTCAAAATTACAACTGCTCTTCAGGTAGCAGACATCAGTTCCTCTGGAGAAAATGGTGGACTCTGTGTCATTACACCCTGCTGAGGTCGCCACAGCAATTGATGCTGAGTGCCCAAGGTTGGGGCACCTGCCCAGAGCCTCTTTCTAGAGCTCGTATTTATTTCCAGAATGGGCCTTATTACTAGTCTTTAAATAATTTTGTTTTTTTAAAAAATGGTATCTTATAATATATGTACTAACCAAAATGTGACGTCTTTGAGGTCTACCAAGAGTTGCTAGGACAATTATTTCACAGGTACTTCCTTCACTTCTATCCCCTAAAATCTTAAAAGGTTGGATTGTGTACAGAGCCAAATATTCAGTGAATGCAAATGGCAGGAATACTTCACAACTTAAAAGATTAGTGCTTCATGATTCCAAGAGGAACTCTGGAATGTTCTGTGGCTGGGTTGCTCATACACCAATGTTTGATTCTTCTTTGCATGACTAGCCACACTTGGTATGAATAAATATTCCCATATTTTTGAACTACCAAAACATCTTGATGTGTTTACCTGTGATTTCATCTCATAGAGGGTAGCATCTTCTGGAGTTAACTGAAGAGCTTCATCCCATTTGTGAACAGCCTCCCGGTATCTGCAAGTGGTTAAAACAGCAGAATGGTCTTACTAGGTTTATGGATGAGTCAAAATAAATGTCAGTATCTTTACCAATTCATCAAGGGAAGTCATACACTCTGGCCATTACAATGACTGGAAATGAAGAAGACATTAGCATGTGACAACCCCCTCATCCTGATGGAAGGGCCAGGAGGATCATTCGGCCTGGTCCTCAAAGCTCAAAGAGGGCCTCAAATTTAGGTATCTCTTAAGTGTCTGCCATTTGACAGGTTTCACAACTTGTTTTTATCTACATCCCAATTAGACAAAAATGTGACACACTCTTCCAGCTTAGATTTAGTAGCACCGCAGAGACCAACAAGATTTATTTAGGGTCTCTAAGGTGCTACTGAACTCAAATCTAATGCTTTTACTACAGAACAACATGGCTACCCTCTGATGTCATATTCTTATGATTATTACAGCTAGGATCCTGTAAAACTGTAATGGTGGCTGGTGGCCTAGTTTAAATATAAAGCATGTTGGGTTTTATAGCATGTAGAGTTTAGTCTTATGCATGTTTGTTGGTAGGGGCCGCGGTGGCTCAGAGGTTAAGATGCTGAAGCTGCAGACCAGAAGGTCTGTAGCTCGGCAGTTTGAGACCCTAGTGCTGTGTGACGGAGTGAGCTCCCGTCTCTGGCCCCAGCTCTTGCTAACCTAGCAGTTCGAAAGCAAGAAATTGCAAGTAGATAAACAGGTACCGCTTCGGTGGGAAGGTAACAGTGTTCCGTGCACCTTGGCATTTAGTCATGCTGACCACATGACCACAGAAACGTCTTCAGACAGTGCTGGCTCTTTGGCTTGGAAATGGAGATGAGCACTGCCCCCTGGAGTCAGATTCGACTAGCTTTTGAGGAAGGGAAACCTTTATGTTTGTTGGTGGAAAGTGCTGTCTAGTCACAGCTGACTAATGGCGACCCCATAGGGTTTTCAAGGCAAGAGAAAAACAGAGGTGGTTTGCCATTGCCTGCCTTTGCATTGCGACCTTGGACTTTGCTGGTGGTCTCCCATCCAAATACTGAAATGAAATACTGAAATACTGACACTGCTTAGCTTCGAGATCTGACAAGATCGGGCTAGCCTGGGCCATCCAGGTCAGGGCCTGTATGTTTATCCATTGTAAGTAAAAACTAAGCTCTTTAATGGTTTTGACATGCTGTGCAAGTGTGCAACTGAAATCTTAGTTACAGTTCCCTGTAGATACAGCGGGACTCATGTAGACAGAAACAGGCAATCTTCTTTAACAGTTCTTGCATAAACCACCTGGGCACAATTCAGTAAGGACTTACAACTGTGTGGCTTTGAACTGCTGAAGACATCCTCTCACCTAACCATTCTGTACCATATTTGTTTCTATGTTCCTCAGCATGCTGTCAATTTTGCAGCTGACAAATCATTCATCATGAAGTAAAACCCAGCACCTTTGAAGCCTTGGGGCAGCTGGTGTTCCTAATGGTCTACTGCATAAATCTATTTAGTTCTATACAGCTGCAAGTGCCGTACAACCAGGCAAAGTGCCAAACAACTTATTGCATCAACAACAGAATCACTCGACAGCAACAATCCAGCCTCAGAAGTAAGAGCTACTACGTACTAAGGGGCTATTATACATACGCAGGTAAAATAAAGGCACAATGTCACATGCTTCAATTTCACTGATGTTAATTTTTGGACTTTTGGCTTGTGACAGCAGCATATGGAACATAGTGGTTCTTTTCCTCATTTTTAATGTCCTTACCCATTTTCTTTCTAATACCAGAAAATGGGACAGTGTTGGTTTGTTTTTAATGATCAGTTTCATCATCATCACCATCAAATTTATAAATTTATAAACCGCCCTCCAACTCAGGGCAGTGTACATTCTCCTACCATTCAACGCCTGATATACTCCCAACCAATGCATATTATCACAAGTGGCTAGTGATGTGAAATTTACTATGGGAATGTCGGCTAACAGGTGATGAAATATCTATTACTTTCCTAACTCATTAGGATAATGATTTTATGCTTGATAGAGGATCTTTCTGTAAAATTGTTAGGCTGTATAAAGCACATTGACTTAGTTTCAGAATATTGTAATTTGAGGTACTTTTAACAATTTGAAGCTTTTCTGATATTAATTTCTGTATTGACAAATTAAAACAATAAAGTATTTAATTATAAAAAATTAAACATGAACAATTAAAAACAATAAAAAATAATACATGGCTAAAACTGATAAAACAGTATAATTCTTCCACATAACAGATGGTGTACATATAACCTCACTCCCACTATCGGGTGGATGACATGCTATTTTTCAGACTAATAAAACCTTACTTAAATCTAAGAGAGCCAGTTTGGTATAGTGGTTAGGAGCGCAGACTCTAATCTGTGAGAACCAGGTTTAATTCCCCACGCCTCCATATGCAGCTGCTGGTGTGACCTTGGGTCAGTCATAAATTCTTTCAGAGCTGTTCTCTCAAGGGCAGTTCTTGAAAGAGCTCTCTGAGCCCCGCCTACCTTCCAAGGGTGTCTGTTGTGGGGAGGGAAAGGGGAAGGGATTGTGAGCCGCTCTGAGACTCCTTCGTGTAGTGAAGGGCGGGATATAAATCCAATCTCTTTTTCTTCTTCTAGATGTTTCTCTGCCTAATCCAAGCATATCTCAGGTATTTGACATCTCTTGTTAAATATAAACACTAACATGTCACAGAAGTTTGCATCAACCTTCTTATGGCACTCATAATGTCTTCTGGACAAGTTCATTCTCAACCATACGAAGCCACAGATGACACACTGCTGTGTACATAATGATATATCTAAGCCGTTCTGAAGAGTCTAACCTTCAGATTTTTATTCCTATTGGTTCTAGAGTGCACATTCTTAAAAATGTGGTAGCTTAACCTCAGGATGCTTAAACTCCCAAAGCTCTAGATAAGTGCCTGCAACAGATCCAAATGTAGCATTGAATACTGTGCCTCATATGCTTTTATGGGGAAGCAAAGAAAAGTTAACAATCTCTTCTAATAATATGTTCGAACAACAGATGTAATGCCATTAATGGAAGTGTTACACACATTATAGTTTGGACTGTAGCGACAGCAATTTGTTTCAATTAAATTCTCTTCTGCATAAGGTAATTATAATATTCATATTTGGGATTTTATGGCTAACATGTTAAACTGCTTGGTAACAACAAATACTTAAATTCACAGATCTGCTATAAAGCACAACTATTGGTGTGATAACGTATTAGCTGTTTTCCTTGTTTTCAGCATTTTTGGAAGTTTGAAGTGTTGGTTATATATACTGAAGAAGATACCTCACTAATATTGAAATGAGTCATACCCAGGAGCTTATCTTGTTGATATTATTCTTATCTTCCAAATACTGTCATTGTTATTCTTATTCTCTAAATATTTTGGCATTTATGCCTTGTGTTAAGGTTGGATAATTGTGGATATGCTGTTGCCATATGTAGCACACAGTGCTTTTGCTATATGTTATTTTCTCCTACATGTTTAACATTGTACTTGTGCAGTTTTTCATATGATTTCTGCCATACATACATAATACACATTTTTAACCTTTTGACATGCAATGGCAACTGTGTTTTTTGTATTATTTAATATGTGACACAACTATTGGCCTATGTGAGAAATAACGACATGATTATTTGTATATATTCAGTTGTTTATTGCTAGTCCTAACCTGGTGGTTTCTCCAATACTCTGTACACCTGGCACTGAGATAGCCTTTTCCTTAATGCTGCTCCTGAGGGGCACTTGTGACATTCTCTTGTGAAAAACCATAAAATTAAAAAAACCCAAAACCAGCCTGTTCTTCTTCCCCCCTCAGTTTCCTTTCCCCCAGTTGCATACACCGGTGAAGAAGTTCACAAGGAGGATGGTGGACAGACTCAAAGACAACCAGAACATTTATATAACAACTTTCAGTTGTGTTTACTTTGACACACCTGAAGCTGCCTTGGACTGAATCAGGTCACGGGGTCCATCAAGGTCAGTACTGTGTCTACTCAGACCTGCAGCAGCTTTCCAGGGTCCTTAGCAGAGATCTTACACATTACTGACTACCTGATCCTTTTAACTGGAGATGCCGGGGATTGAACCTTGGACCCTCTGCATGACAGGCAGATGCTCTACCCCTGAGCCATGGCTCCTCCCTTCCAAATAACACACTTGGTTGCTGCCTTGCCTTTTGGAATATGTCGTTGTTGTTCAGTCGCACAGTCGAGTCCGACTCTTCGCGACCCCATGGACTAGATCCCGCCAGGCCCTCCTGTCTTCCGCTGTCCTCTGCAGTTTGCTCAGTTTCATGTTCGTTGCATCGATGACACTGTCCAACCATCTCATCCTTTGCCGTCCCCGTCTTCAGCTATATCATTAAAGATGTCCAAGCCATGCTTGACATTTGTCAGCCACCCAGGAGCTTATGATTGTCTTTTTACCAGTGCCTTGAAATCTTTCCATATCCCTCTGTGAACGAGGGTAGCTGTTGGGAAACTGTTTCAGCTTTCCCTCAGTGCAACTTCCAGCACAATAAACCCTTTCTGAGAAACTGGGGGGACTGGAGGCGATGGCAAGACAGGGAGAAAATGTCCACCCCTTCAATGATGGCTCTACAGTTCCACCTCCAAGCCTCGGAAACATTACTGCTCGCACACAACCAAAGCCAGAGACAACCTTGGAGGTGGTAGAGAAATGCCTGTTATCTTAGCCACCTCGGTAATGTTTTTTATTGAGGTGTGTGCAAAAGTTTTAAAATAAATACAACTCCCCCTTCCTGTAGCTTCCAAGTAAACCAGCTGAGGCAACTAATGACCCCGCAAGAAGAAATGGCGTGGGTTGCACAGGGCTCATGCCAAGAAGGCACCTATGAAAGACAGCACTACTCACTCTCTTCTGTGGCTCTGGCTTAGGGCTGTGATGTGAATCTTCCTAGGAGCACGTGTATTGCCCCCCCCCCCAAACCACAGCA